GTGTGTGTCAGTGTGTTAAAAGCAGCGCGCACACACACACACACACACACACACACACACACACATAGGGGGTGGGATTGCGTGCCCTCTCCATCTCCCTCTCACGCTACCTCTCCCTGCCGTCCTCCTCTCACTGTGTCAGGTGGAGGCAGCGGCGAGCGAAGGGACAGCTCTTGACATCGCTCTTTGCGTGACACAGGATGTAGATTGATCGGCTCTGCCTGCATGCATGGCAGCGTAAACAGCAAGTAAACAACAAGACAAGAGGACGGGTCGATGAATCCAAGCTGAATTTTCTCCTAGAAGCTCTAGCTTTCTCCTTCTTCTGGGCTTTTCTTTCTCTGAGACTTTTCTGTGTGAAAAGGAGCTTTGAATCTGAGATCGCCTCCAACCGCTGAATTTGAGCAGCAGTTTATCAGCTTTTGGTCACCTTGGAAAAAAAAAAACAGATCCCAATTGAATTTCGACAACATTTATATCCAAAAAGAAAGAAAAATTAAAAAGGTTGTTCAAAAAGGAGCCAAGTCTGAGACAACAGTGTACACCTCTACATATCAGAAATATAGTATCTGTATCAGTTCACACACCAGCTGAAACTAGTTTAGGTTGAGAAATCACATGACATTTCATTTTCTCTTTTTTTCATAATGTTTTTATTGGTATTTTCCATCATACAATACGGAGCAGAGAGACAACAAAAAAACAGAGTAAAAGAGAAACAAACCAAAAGGCATATTCAAAGAAAAATAATGAATTACCCTGCTGCATCACAACATATCCTAGCACACATAGTCCAAGAGGGAGGTGGACAGCACACTCTATGGAACCTTTTTCATATGTAATATACTAACAAGCTCAGTTAACCAGGTCTCAAACTGAGGCACAGTATCATACAGCAATTACCATTCCTTACATACATAATAGCACTTTGTACAGAAACCTTTGAAAAACCCCAAATAGTGCAATCTCTGAATCAGATTCGGAATTTTCCTGTGGTGCTTTTTTCAGTGACTGTATTTTTGAATGCATGTGGTTTTATTTTGTGTTAGTTCTTGGGCTACCATTTCTTTTTGAATACTTAATAGATAAAATATGGACGCTGTATATTACATTTGTATGCCACCACTCTGTTGGACTATTTATCTTTTAAATACAAATCCTAAAAACACTTTAAGGAACTATAATGCCAGTAATTAAAGTGGATAAAGTGCAACATCTGGAAAAGACCAACCAACAACAATAGATGTCCATAGTGTGATAATGGACTCTCCCGTATCAGGCTGTATTTTGTATCACTTTAACTTCAGATATTTGTCGGCTCACAAAGTTTGAATTTTACTATGTTTCACATCATTGTTCACAAACACTGTAAAATTCATCAGAGAATAAAGTTGGCTTTCTTAATCTCTCTGGGAAAATGCTGGCTGACTGAAATGCTTCACACCACTGGCCTACTTTCCCGTCTGAACCCAGCCATGTCAGAGTCACTTTATTTGGGTTTGATTCCATTAATCGACAACTTTCTAAAAGATTTATAAAATAAAAGACATCAGGCTTTGCCAGGACTTATTTCCATCGTTGTCCTTGATGCATTCAGTCCACCAGCCTTTATCAAAAAGGAGACACGCATTCCTCATCTGATTGAAATAAATATGGGAAACTAAAGGACCAATATTTTCTAAGGAGAAAAAAGGTAGAAAGTGTCATCCACACACATACATCGGACATTTCTGAAGAAGCAAACATCAAACCAATGTATACTGTACATACTGTAGTAGTAACATATACAGTCCTGTGTGTGTTTGCCAAATGCACACAAGGCGTTCACTGCACACTGAGGGAATACAGACCGAGTGGGAATTTTCCACTTTTACCACACCTCCTCTCCCTCTTTTCCTCTCTCTCGTTGGCACACACACAAACGACACACACACACACACACATACAATTACTTGAATTAATAAACCTGCCTCTCTCTTTGTGGACTTATGTTCTCTCTGAATCTCTCTGCTCTAATGCACTTTAACCTAAGCTCGGTTTCATAACCTAAGCTCCCGCCGCGCTACACGTACCCCTGCTTTTTACGCGCGCTCTCATGCACTTTACATTGCTAAAAGCATTGGCTAAATAGGATTCGGCGTGTCTGCCGTGTTTTCTGCCCCTATAAGCTCTGCAGGCTTTCAGCTGTGTCAGCTGTCTGTGTGCCGTTGTGTACGGATACATTATATGCCGTACAGTGTGTGTGAGTGTAAACGGAGGGAGAGTGAGAGGCAGAGATCAGTGTGGGTCAGTGGGTATGGCTTAGCTTTGCTGTATGGTTTTAGATGCAGCAGAGGGCTGCAGGGATGTCATGCTAAGCTGATTAAATGTTCACACTTGGGGTCAAGTCAAGCAGCCACTCAGTGTCCCTGATTGAACTGCAGCCAGCTCTTAAAGCTTTCCGTGATATGAGTGGAAAAGGTTGTTGTTGTTGTTGTTTAAATCATAATATTCTTTCATTTTTTCCTTCTGGAGAACCTGCACTTTGCATTCACACATACAGTATATACAGACAAATTAGAGGATAAAGCAACATAAAGTGTCCTTGTAAGGTATCTTCAAGTCTGTGGTCTCATTCTCCCAAAAGATCTTCCAATATTTGGTGTTTAGATGATGACAGTGGATGACCCAGTCTGGCAACACGCACCAGCACCGTCCTGTTTCCTAGCACCGATGCATGTGAGCACTCCAGGAAAGCACATTTATCAGATTTACTCCATAACGTGAGAAGTTTTCTGCCTGTTTGGCGTGACCAGTGTATGCGAGTGGACATCAAATTAGCAAATGTAGTTGCAGGTGCCACGTGACATGTTTGGACGTGTTACACAATGTTTAGGACAAACACAAGGCATTTCTGATAATCAGTTATGCTAAAAACAAAGCTTACTAATTCTTTTGCAGGTCACATTTTATTTTTCATAGGAAGGTTTAGTGTCATATTGAACTGGAGCATCAGCACAACCCTAACCCTAAACACAACATAACTTTAACCCTAATTCTACTGGCATTTTGTATCCTTTATTAGCAATTTCAGTGCTGTTTTATTAGCATGAGGCTAGCCATGTGTTTACACAGAGACACAGTTCCAGAGAGTCCCCCCTCCTAGCACTGCTGTACGCAGGGTTTTAGAAATACAGAGGTCCAAAAACTAAACTTGTTAGGAAGGTTTTAGAGCATCAAAGCATTAAATTAGTTACTTTTAGACAATTATTGCACAACTTTAATTGATTACCTTCGGAAAAAATGGCAATGTGAGCTCAGTGGTCGGCATGGCGATGCACACCAGAGGTGGTGGTACTCAATAAAAAGTAAGGGTACACATGTGCATTCAAGCCAGTTAAGACTCAGGTGACTAGGACTCGCTGTCACACGTCTCATTAAACCTCCTACAAGTAGTTTTTCACTGGTTATAAAACAGTCTTAGTTTAACACTGATGCCTCTATATGACATACATAAACACACCAGACCATCAGTGAGAAAATCGGCTATTTATATATAGGTATTCTTAATGTCTGCCACCAGGACAGATTTGGTCAGATTCCCCTTGAAATCAATTAATAGAGGCAGTGGAAGCACTACCACTTCCTGACCACAGGGGCCACCAGAATGAACGCAAAATGAAAGTTCCTTGTTGCTGCTTTAACTATTATACTCTGACAGATTTAAGGTTGATTGTCACAGTGAGTCGGTTGGCAAGAGCTGACAGAATTAGATTCAACAAGCACTGTTCACTCAAATCACACGACCTGGACTCACCACTGACAAAAGTTTCATTCAGTCATTACTATTTGCTCCATCTGAGAGGTGGAACTTAAGTCTCATCATTTGAAACTTGATATGGTGATAGAAGATAATAATGATTCTCTAAAATCAATCCACTGGTTGGCCGTGGAACTTGATACTTAATACTGCAAATACTGACACATGTTCGTATTGTGTTCTCTGTGTTTTGCCCTTCCCACAGCACCCAGCAGCTGCGTGGTGACTGAATGGGGTGAGTGGGACCCCTGCAGCGTTACCTGTGGTTTGGGTATGAGAAGACGTGAGCGCATGGTGAAGATGCCACCTATAGACGGATCGATGTGTAAAACCGAGGTGGCCGAAGTAGAGAAATGCATGATGCCAGAATGTCGTAAGTCATCAGATATTCATTTCCTTTTCTATCCAGTGGTGTTGTAGTATAATTGGTACAAGTCATCAGCTTTTTTACATGAATATTTGTTGCAAACTGATGAGTATTAATCAGGTTAGTTAAATAGTCATTATTAATCGTAAAGCACAGAAATAAAGTTTAACCTGATCATTTGTACTAACTGTTTGTACACCTGTAATTGCGTGTGAGCAGATACCATCCCTTGCATGCTGTCACCCTGGTCCGACTGGAGTGAGTGTAGTGTGACGTGCGGGCGGGGCATACGAACACGCCAGAGGATGCTGAAGTCTGATCCTGCAGAGTGCAGCGAGGAGCTGGAGCAGACGGAGAAGTGCATGCTGCCTGAGTGCCGTAAGTAACTGAAGTAGTACAAAACTGCTGCTTTTCATTTCTAAACTTTCAAAGAGAGTTGTTAAATGCATGTCTAAGTACAGGAAAGGAGAAAGTTGACCGAGGTTCCAAATATCTAATCTATTCTAATGGTAAAATGGTTTACAATGTGTCTGTTTCCCTAGACCTCCAAAATTATACAAGCGAGGGAAATGCTGTTATAACTAACAGGAACGATGGCCAGAATTATAAAAAAAAAATGTGTAATTTTCTTTTACCCACACAAAGCACCTCTGTTAATCTGCGTGTCAACAGTGGCCCAGCCACACTTATCATCCGCATATTATATAGCCCTATGACTTTCCCATCTCCCTAGATTTATTCTCCATATCCACACTACATTTAAATAATTATTTGGTATGCCTCCTTCACCTTCCCTCTGACCTTGGTAATATATAGAGCCATATGTCACAGAGGTGGAAACCTGTAGAGTGAGGGGGAGCAGAGGATTAAAAATGGCAAACACATTTGCTTTGAGCAGGCCTGAGGATGGAGAATAATGAATTTGCAGGGAATTCAGACTGAAAGTAGCCCTGCAGGGGGCTGCGGTAGTGGGGGCCTGTACAACTTTTTTGCTCTTTCACAGCAGCCATTTTGACATAAAATAGTAGTGTAATCACAGTTACCAATTAAACCAATTAAGGTTCTGTTCCATTTAGTGTAGCAGAGCCTTTCCATTAAATGAACATGCTGCTGTTGTGCATGTTCGTTCATTGACTCTGTTTGACCTGAATGGAACGGAGCCTTAATTAGTATCATTGATAACACCTGTGTTTACCCTACTTTTTCATGTCACAATGGCTGCTGTGAAAAAGATTTATTTGAAATGCGACGAAAATTAATCCAAAAAGCCCCCCCCAGGTAATTTTTGGAATTGGGCCGTATTTCTGCCTGAGCAGTTTGAGTAGGGTCATAACGCTTAATTAATCTCCCCCATGATCAATAAACTGCCTGTTGTATGATAAGTTGCATTTCTGGCAGTTTCAGTTTTGGTCGACTGTCTTTCAGCTTGAGCAGTTTTATAGTCTGATTTCCCACATGGTTGCTGTCAAAAGATTGGAGAGCTTGTTTAACTATTACTGGAGCAGTATTTTACATGCTGTGGATAAAACTGTGGTTTTAAGACTTCAGAACAGGCATCATATTCTCTTCATCTTCCATCTGCAGCTCCATATTTGTCTTTTTTCCTTACTTTATTTGAAGCATCTGTTGCTCCTTTACTGGTCCTTCCTCTGACACTTCCTTCTGTTCTTCCCTCCAGCCGTCGACTGCATGCTCTCCGAGTGGTCCGAGTGGTCCGAGTGCAACAAGTCCTGTGGTAAAGGACACACCATTCGGACACGTATGCCCAAACTGGAGCCGCAGTTCGGGGGTAGTGCTTGTCCCGAGACCATCCAGAGGAAGAAATGCAAGATCAGGAAGTGTGGGAAAAGGACAAAGGTGACGAGAGGTGAAGGTGGAGGAGTAAGAAGAGGAGGAGGAAGAAATAGAAGGAGACCAGGTGCATGGGGAGCAGAAGAGCAGCCAGGTTGGTGGGAATATCTAGTTTATTGTCATTATTGTTAAAGCTGCTACATGAGACCAGAGTTGAGATGCTACTGTCGTTTGTCCCAACAGGTTGCAGGATGCAGCCGTGGACCATCTGGACGGATTGCACCAAACAATGCGGAGGGGGGATCCAGGAGCGTTTGATGGCAGTGAAGAAAAGAGCTAAAGGCCCTCAGATGTCCGGCTGTAAGGACCGGAAGGAGATCCGTGCCTGTAACGTTCATCTCTGCTAGGGGGCACTACTGAGCTGCAGAGGAGGGGAGAGGAGCAGCAGGATAAATACACGAGTTATGAAAAAATGGGTTTATTTGATAAAGATGATGATGGGGAGGAACTTTTTGTGTACAGAGGAGTGAAGATGATGTTTGACACTTTGGAAAAAGGAGATGAGTGTAGGTAAGGAGAGGGGAAGGGAGAAGACAGGAGGATAAAAGGAGAAGAAGATAATGTGCTGTGTAGTGAAGCCATTGTAGGCATTTAGTTGACAGGGCTGACTTTTACTTTAGACCACAATGGAAGTATTAGAGAGTAATGTCTGTGTCCTGCAAAAAAAAAAATCAGCTTTTCAGGAATTTTGAGAAAAAAAAAACTACAGTAGCTTTGCCATTGAAACATGTGACTTTTTTGTGTAATTTCAGTAGTTTTGGCCCCTGGGTTATGGAATAGGGTTGGGACTGAGATTTGCTCAAAACACACTGAAACTGGGATTTCTGGCATGTGTCTGCTTCGTATGTACTGACACAAAGATGCCTTCTCCAAACATCATTAATGATACCAAGCAAGTGTTGTAGCTATTGTCCCCATTTGAAGTGCTATCATAATCGTAATCTAACTGGATGGATGTTTTAGCAGCTTCTTACGATCCTTATCCAAGTTAAAATGGCAGCCTGTTGCTGTGTGGCATATTATTTGTAGAATAGGTGTGAAGAAGCAGAGAAATCTGGAAATTCAAACAGTGCAGGTGGTTCAACTATCTTAACCAGCGACGTATTTACCATATACCTAACTAACCACGTAGTGAAATTGGTCTGGCTCACTAACAGTCCACATAGCCCACAGGGCCAGAACAGGCCAGCTATGGTCATACAGTTGACTGGGTTATAGCTATGTCATTGGCCATTTGTGGCTACCAGATCTGGCCACATGTGGACCACAGTTCATTGCTGTGTTTGGGTTTTCTTTTGAGTGTATGGGCCAGACCAAATTTATTATGTGAGTAAAATAGCCAGAGATATGTACATCTTATAGGGCAGGTATTTTGCAATCTCAATGTTATCTTTGGTATTTTCGAGGCACAAAAGACTTTTGTTCCTTGACATTAGCCTTTAAGGCAGGCAACATAAGGACACCCTTAAAAATGCACCAAGCCTGGGGAGTAGGGCTGTCTAAAGGACCAACAAAAGTCCCATCGGTTGTTGTAATTTCAACACCCATGAGCTTCATGGAAGTGGGTGATTATAGATAAAGCCAGAAGGCTGATGTGAGCACACACAACTACAAATATGAAGCAAACACAGCAAGGCACAATACCAAACACAATGACAATGATAACACATGCGAGCTACAGGGAGGATATTCCCACTGCGCATTTTTTCCACCTCAAAGATAATTTACTTCTATTAAGAGCACTTGTTGTTCTACTACCACATGAAGAATAACATCAGACATTTTGAATGCAAATCTCTGGGAATGAGTAATACAGTATGTTCCCGGGAAATAATAATCACAATCAATCACATCAAACTGTCAACCATAGTATGGAGTACTATACGTTGTTAGCTGTCCCTTATTGAGAGAAAGCGTAAACGGACTAAACTGAAGATGTAGGATTTTTGCAAGACATAGATGCTCACACAGAAAGTCTCTAAAGACTTATGGATGTACTGTATATCTACTATCTAACCAACACTTATAAATGACACTACTATGTAAGTACTAAAAACCACTTTCCCTAATAGACAGATACATTTAAATGGAGATGTTTTATACTGTTAAAATTAGTCTTTATATACTGTACTGCTGTTTATCTGTCGTTTCAGCTGATGTAGCATTAAACCTGCGCAGATCTTCTTTTAGCATGTGCAAAGGTGATTATGTTTGGTTGGACATTCTGCTTTCTCTGCCGTAGATGTAGTCTTTAAACAGATAGCTAAATGACTGTACCCGGTTCCTGAAAACACAGACCGACGGAGCCGTAGAAGTGTCCACTGGTGCAAAGAGGTTTGCAACATTGCAGAGCTTTCTACAGTAGCAAGAACTGTAGGATAGCTCAACATACAGTAGACTGTTACTGGGGCCTTGGTTACACACACTTTATTTTCATGTAGTGTTTTTATTGCGCTTTTCATTTTATTGCCATCATGAGAGTGATCTGTAAAATCTTTTCTAGTATTACTTTAGATTACGTTGCAGGTTTTGTTCTGTTTTAATGTCATCGAATGTCATCACCAAAGTTCCATTTTCTGTAGATGTTTTCTTTACTTTTCTGATTTCAGGCCTCTGTCTTTTGTTTCTTTGCCTCTGTATCATGTGACTATTTTCTAAGAAACCACCTTTACAATAAAAAATGTAAATGTGAAAATCATGACGTCATTGGACTTGTTTCGATCGAGCAATGTTCTGTTTGGGTCAGGCTTTCAACATAACATTGTTTTATTTAATTGCTTATGAATATGATTTCGACGCAGACACAGTGGTCCTTTGTTTTAAAAATAACAAAAGGGATGCTTAAATAAAAAATACATACAAATATTTCCTGATTCCTCAGGCCTTACTATGTATTTAGAATATCAGTCCACTAGATGGAGCTATAAGACTGATAGCACATTTTTACAGTTGACTCCCATTGTATCTTCATTTTTAAAAAGTTTTTTTTTTTTGTTTATAGACATGAACATAAACACACTGAAACAACATGAGGGATAAAACTGCAGTACCAGATGATTCATCATGCACAAACCTGTATGTATATATATATTTTTTAAAGGGGCAATTTGCACCTCAATAAAGATTTGACTTAGAATCCTCAGTACAGGGTCAAGTTCCATAATGTAACTCAAGTGCTTTTTTTGTTAACCCCCCCCTCCGTCAAGGAATACCAGTTCTTTCAAATTCCACAGCCCAAGTTGGCAATAGGCTTTCTGTTACACATTTGAAATCTACATGCCCACCCTGAGATAACCCCATGACATCGCTATGACATCCTTAGGGGTTATTTTCTCAGACAAAGCTCCCCCAGAGACATTATTCAGCACTTCTTACATGTTGAGTTGCATTCACCATAAGTACTAAATTGATTTTGACATTTCTCTTTAATAATCCAGACAAAGGGGATACAGCTGCCCTGACAAAACTGTGTGTTAGGTCTAAGTTTAGAGTTCTTCTTTGTGCACTTAAATCTAATGAGCTTGTTGAACCTCAAGCCTCGGATACTGCCACTGACGTTACATTTCGACCGCCTGTTTAAGTGAACTGCGCAATATAATGAGACATTAAGTGTTATGAAGTCAGCCCAAATATCACAAGCAAAGGATGCTCATAAATAATAAATGCTAGATGAAGTACAATGGATTTTTTTATCTACTAATGATCAATATTGAATGATGTTTTGCAGCAGTTGGGTTGTGGGCATGTTGTTTCAGTTCATACAGCGAGGGCAACAATTAGACATGCTTTCAGTTTCTAACAGAGTATCAGGCAGAAGCACTTTGTGACAGTTCCCATGATAATGGCTGCAGTCTGTTTCCTTTAAAACCTCTGAGACTGGAAAGTTTTTCTGTGGATGTGCATCCTAGAGCAGTTCAGATATTCAATAATTGAACATCTTTAACCCCACAGATGTATGTTCAAAGGAGCAGGGCTTTTCATTTTTTTAGTAAGATTATAAATATACCAAATACAAAATTATAGGAAATATATAAATATAAAGTTTGTTTGTTTGATTGTAGAAAAAAGGCAGGCACGGATGGTCTCTTTGATAAGTTGGACTCAAATTTTAGTCAGAAACACGGGCTTGTACTTCACTGATGGTCCTTGTACTTCTCAGAGGAAGGCAGCCAACTGCACTGATCAAACTCTTTCCCAGAGGACAAAGAGTTTACTTACTGGAGTATAATTTATTTTAGGAATAATGCATGAATGAAATTTCTGGGAAAAAAAGTAACGTACCCGCTGCAGTTCTACAAAGTACCCCTAGGGGTACACAGGCCCCATATGAGAAACGCTGCTGACCAATAGCCTATCAGAAGTTATGCTGCTTGAATATCAGCAGGTTGCTGTTCAATGATAAATCCATGCCACTGTCCATGGTGCTGAACTAGCACACCACATTGTAATCTGTACTTATCTCTGTTCCGCCCTTCCAGCCCATAGGCTGTATGAGGGCCCACTACAGGTCCTCGCCCCCTCTGCAGAGAGCCGCCGACCCTGAGCCTGATTAGACTATTATTATTGTTGCTATTGCTAT